ATAAGTTTCTTATAACATTAATCTAAGCTTCTACCTTAGGAAAGTAAAAAATGGAGCAAATTAAATCCACAGTAGTCATTAAAAAGAAATAAAATTTAGAGCCAAATTAGTGAAAACAGAAAATGAAAAGAGAAAATTGGTGAAACCAAACATTGATCCTTACAAGATCAATAAAATTAAACCTTGGCCCAATCTAAGAATGAAAGAGAGAAGACACAATTACTAATATTATAAATGAAAGAGGAGCAATCTCTACTGATTCCATGGACATTAAAAGAGTAATAAAGGAATATTGTGAACAACTCTATACCTGTAGTTTGATAGTGAATATATGTGGGGTGATAGGTGTTTCAATTAACTTGATGTGGGAAATCCTGTTACAAAGTATACCTATATCAAGCCATTCCATTGTACATTTTAAATACCATACGATTTTTTCAATGATACCTTAATCAGCTGAAAAAATTCTACCAAATATTTAAGGAAGAAATTACACTGCTTCTATACAGTGTTTTCCAGACAGGAGAAGAGGGAAACTTTCTAACTCATTATGTGAGTCCAGGATTACACTAATACCATCCCAGCATTTCAAGAAAGGATATCTGTAAATCAATATTTCTTAGGAACATAGATGTAAAAATATTCAGTAAAATATTAACAAATCCAAACATGTAATCAGAAGAATATACAGTTGGCCCTTAAACAATTATAAGGGGTATGGGTGCCACCACCCTGCGTAGTTAAAAATCTGTGTTATAACTTTTAACTCACCAAAATCTTAACAACTGATAGTCTATTATTGATCACAAACCCTGCTGATGAAATATTCAGTCAGTTAACACATATTTTGTATGTTAAATGTGTTGTAAACTGTTTTCTTACAATGAAGTAAGCTAGAGAAAAGAAAATGTTATTACAATTATAAGAAAAATAAAAATATATTCCTAGTATTTATTGAAAAAATCCATATATAAAGGGTCAGCTGTACACTACAACCAAGTGGGATTTGTTTCAGGTCTTCAAGCCTCATTCAAATTCAGAAATTAATGTAATCCATTACATCAACAGCTAAAGAAGAAAATATCATACAATCATTTCAGCACATGCAGAAAAAGCATTTGACAGCATCCAACACCTATTCATGATAAAACCTTTCAGCAAATAAAAGTAGAGGGGGAATTTTCTGAATGTGGTAAAGAACATCCTCAGAAGTTTTACAGCGAACTTCATACTCTATGGTGAGAAACTAGAAGCTTTCCTGCCAAAATCAGGAAAAGGAAAGGATCCTCTCTGCCAGTTTTGTTTACCATCCAATAAGACAGGAAATAAAAGATTTACAGATTGAGAAGGTAGAAATAAAACTGACTTTGTTTGCACATGACATGATTATCTGCATTAAAAATATGAAAGAATTAAAAATAACAACAAAGAAAAACAAAATAACATACCAGAACTACTAATAAGTAGCATATATAGCAAGGTTGTGGATACAAGGTTAAAATACAAAAGCCATTTGCTGTCTTATTAAACTAGTAATAAACAACTGGATTTTGCCATTTAAAACACAATATCATTTGCGTTAGCAAAAAAAGAGAGAAATGGGCCCAACTATAACAAAATAAAAAAGGCCTATGTGATAAGACCTGTAAAGTTCTGATGAAGAGAAAGAAGAATGATCTAAATAAATTATGGATAGGAGCACTCAATATTTTATCAAGGTATCAGTTCTTCCTGACTTGATCTATAGATCTAACACAATCGCAGTCTAAATCCCAGCAAATCAATATGTGTATATTGAAAAATTGAGTCTGAAGTTTATACGGAGAGGGAAAACATCCAGAAGAGGCAACACAATATTGAAAGGGGAAAAAAACACTGGAGGACTGACACGAGCTGACTTCAGGACTTACTATGAAGTTACAGTAATCAGGAGACTGTGGTGTTGGCCAAAGAGTAGATAAATAGATCAAAGGGGCAGAATCAGGAACCCGGAAATGGAGCCAGACAAATAGAGTAAACTGATTGTTGAGAATGAATAAAATCAATATAATGGAGACTTTTTAATAAGTGGTTTTGGAACATCTGTGCACATGCAAAAAAGAAAAAAAATGAATCTAGACACAGATCTTTTACTTTTTATAAAAATTAATTAAAAATGGACCACTGACTTATATATACAGTAAACACAAAACTATAAACTGCCTAGAAAATATTAGGCAGTTAATATTAAGATAATATTAAGTTGGATTTAATTGAAATGAAAACTTTTGCCCTGGGAAAGGCACTGTTAAGAGAGTGAGAAGACAAGCCACAGACTGGGAGAAAATATTTGTAAAATGCATATCTGATAAAGTACTTACATCCAAAATATACAGAGAACTGCTCGAATTCAACAACAGGTAAACAAATAACCCAGTTTAAAAATGGGTAAAAGATCTGAACATACATTTCAACAAAGAATGGAGAGGGCCCTGGCTGGTGTGGCTCAGTGGATTGAGTGCTGGACTGTAAAGCAAAGGGTCACCAGTTCGATTCCCAGTCAGGGCATATGCCTGGCTTGTGGGCCAGGTCCCCAGTAGGGGGTCATGCAAGAGGAAACTACATATTAATGTTTCTCTCCCTCTCTTTCTCCTTCCCTTCCCCCTCTCTAAAAATAAATAAATAAAATGTTAAAAGAAAAAAGAATGGAGAATATTACATTGAAACAACAATGAGATACCACTACACAACTATTACAATAACAACAATATCAAGTGCTAGAGCATTAGCAGTTTTCATTCATTGGTGGTGCTAATGCAACATGTTAATGTCATTTTGGAAGACAGTTTATCAGTTTCTTACAAGGTTAAACATAGCTAGTCTTGTCATGCAGTACACCAGTCAGGCTCCTTGGTATAACCCAAGTGAGATGAAAATTTAAGCCACACAACAACTTACACATGAATGGCTAGAGAAGTTTTATTCATAATTGCCAAAAACTTGGAAGCTACCATGATGTGCTTTAATAGATGAATGGATAAATATACTGTGATACATTTAGACCATGGAATGTTATTGTTCTGGAAAGGAATGAACTCTCAAGCCATGAAAAGACATGGAAGAAACTTAAATGCACTTTGCTAAATAAAAGAAGCCAGTCTGAAAAGCTACTTGTATTCAATATTCTATTCAGTCATAAAATGTACTGCATGATTCCAAGCATATGACACTGTGGAAAACGCAAAGTTATAGAGAGAGTAGAAAGATCAGTCATTGCCAGGATTCAGGGAATGAGGAAGGGAGGGAGGGGCGGATAAATAGAGCTGAGTGGGTTTTTAGGGCGAGGAAACTCTTCTGTGTGATACTGTATGGTGAATACATGCCACTTTGCATTTTTTTAGTATCTATAGAACTGTTCAATACAGAATAAGCCCTAGTTCACACTGTGGACTTTAGTTACTAATAAATTATCAATATTGATTCATCAATTTATAAAAACTCATTGATTAAAACACAGTACCGCGTGTTTTAATAGGGGAAACACTAGAAGGAGGGTGGGAGGGCAGTACATGTGAGTGCTCTGTAACTTCTACTCATTTCTTTAAGCCTAAGTTTCTAAAATATATTATTTATTAATGGAAAGAAAACACTTAGTAAAATGGAAATTCCGGTCAGTCGATTATCACACAGGTCGATAATCATGCTTATAGATTATTGTATATGTATGTAAAGGCCTAAGCACAGAAGTGTTTGTGGAAACATTGTTCATATAAATAAACACAGTAAATGCCTGTATTATGATATGTAAATACATTGCAAAATTTGTGGCCATTAGGAAGGTGAAAATGGAGAGGAGCGTAGGAATTAGAGAGAAATTTAGGACACAGCGACTGGCTGAGGAATGAACAGAATCTGATATGTTGCTTAGATCTCTGCCTTGGACTGAACTGAACAGGTAAAGAGTGAGAATTATGATCAGTCTTATCCTGGACTTACTGTGTCGAAAGTTTCTGTGGAACATAATGCCCAGGAAGCAATCTGGCATGTGGGTTTTGAATATCAGTGGGTTTGGATACAGATAGTGGGAGCCATAAGGGTTGATCCAGTCGCCCAGCCAAAGTGAGAGGATTAGAGACTAGAAAGGTAAAAGTAAAATCAGGAGAAGACCATGTCATGAAAGTCAAAGAAGAACACAGTTGTAGCAGAGAATGTTTAGCAGAGATCAAGTAAGATCAGACCGAGACATGAGTACTGGATGTAGCGGCATGGGGGTTCCGGGCTATCCTGGACCACTCCGTGGTGATAGCACTGTTACTGCCTGGGTGCACTGTAGAGCCTTTTGTCTTGAAAATAGTTTTATTGGGTCATTAGCCCCACAACATTTTTTAGAGTCTTTTTTTTATATGCCAGTGTACATGGAGAGTCTCTTCAACAGGCTTTCTCAAACTTATTTGACCTAGGAAGTCTTTTGCTGTTGTTTTAGCATTTTTCAGGACTCATGTTACATAGAACACAATTTAGGAACCATTGGAGAATACCAGCTTTTGAAGAAGGTTGATGACAAAGAGTGGAGCGGGAGAGGAGTAACTTGTGGGAATATGTAGCATTCAGTCAAAACTCCAGGATACTAATAATAAACAAGGTGATGAGACTCAGGGATATCGAGAGAGTAGTATTTTAGGCAGGGAGTTTCTTGGAGTCCCAGAAGAGATGAAAGGGACTAGAATCCTGAGAGGGAGTATAGTTTTGAGCAGAGACAAGGAAGTATAAAAGGATGCAGATAGCTGGGGAGAGTGTCAGTTTCACTATTTGACGCAGCAAAATAATAGCTGGTCTTGAAGACACAAAATTGAAAATACTCCATTGTGCTTTTGAAAAGAGAAAAATTCATGGAAACTGTGATATTACTTAATAGTCCCAGTTATGTTATTTAGTGGATATGTGTGAGATGTTTCCAAGCAGAAATTTCGCTATGTTTATACTAGGAGTCTCAGTGATTTTTTAAATTTTGTATTTCTCAGGATGCCAGACATGCAGCTGAAGAAGAGATTTATACCAATTTAAATCAGAAGATCGACCAGTTTCTACAGCTGGCCGACTATGACTGGATGACAGGAGATTTGGACAACAGGGCTAGTGACTACCTAGTGGACCTCATTGCCTTTCTGCGCAGCACCTTTGCTGTATTCACACACCTTCCTGTGAGTGACTGTCGCTTTTACTTTGTCGATCCTATGGAAAAGGTTTCTCCTAGAAATTTAGTTTGGTGAAGGATGTTAGTTTGTTTCTGGAAGTTCTCCAGTGAACAAAAGCTCACACTATTATAATCATCCCTTAACAAGATTTAGATACCTCTTGCATTATTTTTTTCATTTCCTTTTGCATTTTGGTTATTCTGAAAATGGTCCCTAATACCTACTTATATTCCCTGTGACTTAGGGGTAATTAGTACAGACACATAATGAATGCTTTGGTAGGAATAAAAGAGAAACTTGGGAGTTAGAATTTCAGGTATGTATCCTTTTTTAAATTCTAGAGTGTGCGTTTAATTTTTTTTATAGCATCAAATTTTCTGGTAAAATTCTCCATTTTTTAATTTAATTTACCTATCTTTTCTCAGTTTTCTTGAGTATATAGTCACAGTCATCTTAAAGTCATTGTGTACTATTACTAATGTGTCCTTCATCTACAGATTGGTGGATTTGTTTCTGATTCCTTTTTTTCTTGGTTATGAGTAATATGGTCCTATCTATGTAGAGGTTTCTGATGGTATCATCTCCCACCAGCTTTGATTTACTTTTCCCTTGCTAAGTAGGTAGAACCTGTGGGTGAGTTGTGGTTTGAGCTTCATCACCCTAATCCAATCATAGGCTGATCTGGGTCAGGCTTGGGTCGCAGTGGTATGTATCTTTGTTTCGACCCTGTGGATAGAACATGGTTCTTTGGGGCTTTTCAGAAGAGCCTGGCAGGTCACTGACTCTTCAGCACTAAGAGGATTATGGAAATTTCCACTTTCCTGAGAAAACTTACCACTTCTGCTTCCTCCTGTCTTACTCAGATCAACCTTTGTCAGCGGGGAAAGAAGTGATTGGAGACTGTAGTCGTTTCACGCTCCCTCAGAAGTTTTGGGGCCCCATCTCAGGTTCTTGTGAATCCTCCCACTAGTGAGTCTTTTTCTCTGAAACAGTGCGAGGCTTGGGAATCTTACTTTGCTTTTCAGAGGTTTTGGCTTAAACACTTACTTACTTACTTACTTATTTATTTATAGCTATGTAGCTTTAGATTTCAGAAAATGTCTTGGGTAGAAAACTGGCCCTCAGATCTCCAGTTTTGGCATTTCAGCTTCACAACAGGAGGAACAGCAATTCAGAGACATATTTTCACCCCAGCAGCCGTCCGCTACCTGGGCCTAATCAGATCCACAGTCTGTTTGTCCAGCTTTGGTGGGTGCTTCCAGGGAGAGCCACAGGTCCTGGGCTCATCTTTGAAAGGTTTGCCCTCTGAGCAGTTTTATTCCCTTTAGTCCTTACTGGTTCACAGTCTTCTGGTGTCTTAAAATATATGTTTTTTCTAAGATTTTTAAAATCTGCCTTTATTAGTACTTAATGGGAGCATTGGCCTGTAGAAAACTAGATGATTTCATCTAGCTTCATCTTGATACCAAAGCCAGAAAAAAGTGGCACCAAAGAGCAAACTACAAACTAATCTCACAATTATGAATAAAAAAAGTAAAATGAAGAAAGATTTTAGCAAGTGAATTCCAAAGTGTTTTAAGAAAGTAATTTAGTACTACCATGTTGGTGTTATTCTAGAATTCAAGAGTGGTTTGCTATGTTAAAATTGATGAATAAAATCTGTCTCATTAACAGGTTGAGATAAAGTATATAATCATCTTTAGGTTTTCTAAAGAAACATTGTATTAACCTTCAGCTTGCATTCCTGATTTTTTAAAAAAATGACTTACTAAAATACGAGCAATGTAATATTTCAATAACACGATGAGGAACATCTATGTCACACTCAGCAGCCACCGTAGAATAACCAGTGTGACACTAAAAATGCTTGTCTGCATCAACATCAGAAGTATGGTGAAGGTATTTCTAATAGCTGCTTTAGAAACTTAAGTAAACAAGGTAACAAAAAATTATAAATATTATAATAAGCCATAATATTTCATTCTTCATAGATTATTACCATATAGTTGAAAAACCCAAGAAAATCAAGTTTAAAATAATTAGGATCAATAAGAACTTAGTTGGTTAGATGGTCTACTTATAAAACAAATAGATTTCTTTTCTATTAGTAATATCCTCATAGAAAATATATTGCAAAAAATGCCCTATTTGCTATTGGTGCATAAGCTGTAAAAGTTCCATGAGTACACTTAACAAGTACTATGTAGCATCAATGTGAAGAACAGGTCAAAGAGTCATTTAAAAGAGACTTCATTATGCACAAACACAGAGTTCCAGGATGGGAATATTTCTTATTGTAGAGTATTTTTTCTTTATTATTTTTTATTAATTTTTATTTAGTTATTTTCCAAGTACAGTTTTTTGTCTATTTCTCCCATCCCAGCCCCGTGGTCCCCACCTCCCTCCCATTTCCACCCCCCTTAGTTCTCGTCCCTGTGTCCTTCCTATTTGTTCCTCCAAATCCCTCCCCTTTTTAAATTATTCTAATTGCAATGAATGTCAAGTAAATTTGGCAGTGGGTATCTTAACAAGATAATTCTAAAATTCATTTGGATACAAATGGACAATATTTGCCAAAGAGATATGAAAAAATTAATTATTGTAGTCTTTTTCTATCAAATATAAAAATGTTATTGTAAAACAAAAATAATTAATAAATATTCTCTCATCCCAAAATAGACTGATTAAAGGAATAGAATAGAAAGTCTATAAGTAGCTTAAAGTATATGTAAGACTTTTGCATTGATAAGGATGACATCAGGCACTTGCGGTGGGCGCCAACTTCTCATTTGGACAAAAAGAATGTTAAGTCACTAGCTCATAAAACAAAATGAATTCTAGGTCAAATAAATGTTCAAATTATTAAAAAGAAAGAAATGACAGGGAAACCAATAAAATATTAGCAAATGTCTCTATAATTTGCAAGTGATTCATTATAATTATGAAAAATTGAAGTCATTAAGGAAAAGGTTAGTTATGTGACTGCACAAAATGTTTTTGTTTTATGCAGTCAAAAATACTTTTTAAAGTATCAGAAAGAATTAATAAAGAAAATAGAATAAGCTTATCCAGAAAAATCATTACAATAAATATTCCCAAAGCTTAGTATCTACAATATTAACCTAAAGGTTAGTATATACAATATAGGACATTGTTTCATATTTAATAAGAAGACACAGAACTTGATGGGAAAATTTGCAAACATTATTTTAGGCAGCCAGAAAAGAAGAAAAATAAAAGTAATGATAACATGAACAAAATGTATAACTCTAGTAATAAGACACACATATTAATGTATGTTATTTTTGTTTTTAAACTTGCCAAAAGTAAATAAGAAAATGATAACATTAAATATTTCTGAGAAGAATTTCAGGAAATAGCTATTTTGATACATTGCTGATGTGTGAATTGGTATAGTGTTCTTGGTGGTCAGTTTTTCAATATTCCTCAGAAATCTTTTAAAATTTATTTACCTTTTACCCTAAAATCCCACTTTTAGAAATGTAACTTAATGAAATAATCATGGGTATATCACAAAATTTAGATAGAAGTAATTTCAATACAGTATGGTCTTTTATGTATGATGAAGAGTTGGGAATGAATTAAAAGTTTTGTAACAAATGTATTAGCTAAATTATTAGATGTTCACATAGTATAATATCAGTCATCCATTAAGGTAACATAGAGAGATATTTATTTTAAAACATTTTAATGATCTCCTCATTGAAAAGCAGATTACAAAACCATAACTATAATATCTCATTTTTATTAATATAGCTATAGACACATTTTCACCGATATTATACATAGTGGAAATCTAGACTTATGTATTCCCTGGTCTAACTGTATCTATTTTTGTGTAGCTCTTACTTTTTCCATTTTGTTTATCTGTGTTTAAATTTTTTTTGTCATCGTGAATTATTTGCTGCTTTTATAATCCTACCAGTGGGAGAAGGTGCTACTTAGAATCATTAATTTCTATTTCAGAGATTATTCTGTCTTTGATAATTATCTTATATGATAAAACACTTTTACTGGAGAAAGATTGTTTTAAAATCTGTTTAATTTTTTTTGGAAGAAAAATGACCAATTGTATTTTAGCTATATGTCTCTTCAAATATTGTATGGTTATTTGAATAAAATTTTGCAGTATCATAAGAAAAAATACATTTGTTCAGAGTCAAAGCCATCTGGATAAGTTTTCTGTATATTCATCTTCCTTGTTTATTTTTTTCTGTTCTTACAAAATAAAAACAACACTCTAATAAGTGTGACTATTTATGCACGTCAGGTAGTAGAATGGTTCCTTATTTTTATATCCAGGCTGTTTAGAAGTAGTACTTTGAATTAAACACATGTTTGTTTAACTCAAAGTGCATGCTTTTTCCACCTGTAAAGTTGTGACCTTCTTTATGGGTCTATAGTTTAAATAATTGTTTGAGGATTTTTTTCTACTTTTGTTTATTTTGAGCTGTCTGAGTACTATAACTTCTCTATGTAGATTGAGTTGATTATACCACTCAGAATCACTCTACCACCTGCTACTCAGAACCAAAGTCAGAGGTAATTCACAGCCCTACATCCTCAATATTGCTTCCACAAATGCCTCTTTTCTGCCTTGCCTCTTACATAGATCTCTTTGTGAATTCCACCTTTCAAAAAGTAGTTGTATTCATCAACTATTGTATTTTGTCTCTAGAATCGAATTAGTGTGGCTTCTAAACCCTTCTTCTGGTTTTCTACAGACAGCAAATAGATGGCCAGAATCTGTGTTTGTTCTCCCCAGCATGCTGGCTAACTTCTTCCTGGAACCTCATTTAATACAATATATTAGAGAAACAGAGCTGTGTCTAAGATTTGCCATTATGCATTATTAGTGAAAGATGATAAAGGAAGGAGCTATTTTTGAGCTAGAACCCAAATCATTTGTCTTTTTATTAGGCGACTTTCTTTTCTTATTTGAAATTCCTTGGCAAGAGTGGCTCCCTGTCCAAGAGCGATATTGA